CTTCCCAGAACAGACATCACCTACATTTTTTATTGCTAGATGCAAGACCTTTCTTTTGGATGTGTTAAAATGCATATTGTTTGCAGTTGCTCAGCCAACTAAAAAATTAAGGTTACATTTTTTATCAGCTATCAGTCATCTTAAGTACATAATGCCCTTTTCTCCATTACTCTTTGTATTATGCGCCAGTTTTTTTCATTTACCAATCCAGGCCTCTCTTCCAAGTAGTTGATAAAAGTAATTAATTACTGTCACAAATTGAAGCTTCCCTGAAAGCAGCACTCAGATACCTGAGACCTTGGCTACAACTGCTCAGCTCAAAACTCATTAGCTGATTCTGGAAGCAAAAGCACAGATAATTTTCATGGGAAAGCACTACCCAAAAGCTCTGGGGCACATTTGCCTTGTTCTAATGATTCAGGTAGGTGTCAGCAATTTTACACCCTCCTAACACGTAATGTGGGGGAGGTTAGAGGGTGACAGTCACCCAAATAATAGCAACTAATTCTCTTTATGTGGGAAAGGAAATCAAAGAACTTGGCCCAGGTCAATGTGGTTAATATTACCACTACCAGTTTGCACCAGTCATCTGAGCTATAAAGGACTAAACAGGACAGACAGCAATCTCTCTGTGAGAATATCTATACAGAGGCATCCAAAACCATGAAGAAATCCAAGCCCATGGTGGGACCATTACGCACAAGGACAAGGCTGCCAGCCAGGCCAGGCCAGGACACGCTGAGTCATCAGATGTGAGTGTCTTGGCCCCTTGGCCTGTGGTGTTGATTCTCACTCGAGCACAGGGTAGGGCCAGGGTAGGGAGTGTGAAGTCTGAGACTGTCAGAGAACAAAGATCATACAGCAAAACGCTTAGCACAGTAATCACTAACCACCCACTACATATATCCTACCTAATAAATGGTAAATATAATGTCCCTGAGTGGCGTGGTTCTGTTCTTTGGGCTGTCTCAACCCTAAATTCCCTCAAAACACCAAGAGAGATCAAAATGCAATCCACTTCATGCCCTGTTCAAATATGGCCATTCTGCAATAAGCCTGTTTGTTTGCAATTTTAAAAGTTATTTGCAATAAGCCTGTATGTTGTGGATGCTTTGCTTTCTTTGTGTTGCCTTCAGCTCCTTTTTCTCAAACTGAGACTGAATCAGTAGAAGGTGAAAAAACAAGCAAACAAACAAAACAACAACAACTATTCCTAGGAATATTTTTAACTGATTCCAAGTATAAAGAGCTAATATAAAGTATCCTTTAGGATTTTCAACTTTAGTCAACTACAAATAGCATGCATGATGCAAAATAAATAAATAAATAGCCAAGTGTAAAAGACATTTATCTGAACAGCTAGACTACATATGGCACTGAAAGAAAATCACCTGTGAATTCAATTGCCAAAATTCTTTCCTGTTTTTTTTTTTTGTTTGTTTGTTTGTTTGTTTGTTTTTCACAGCCCTAGTGTGAAAGCAGGAAAGATTGTGTCAGATACTAACTCGGTTCAGCACATCTGTCTTCAGAAGTTTTTGTAGCAATGACAAGATTGCTACAGTTAGTTGTCCATTGTCCCAAAAAATAAGATGCAGTATGCAATACAGAGAGCCCTTAGAAATGTGCTACCTTTGTTTTAGATAAATGTCCAGACATTTGCTGTATGACCTCGCTTCCTTATATTACAACAAGAGGAACATTTAGGAGTACTGCAAATGAAGTGCTGAGTTATCCAAGGTGTTACCTACAGCAATTATGAAGACTTTAAGGCCAAGTGCTACATAATTCTTAAAGCTGAGAAAGGTGTTTCCATGAGATAAAATGGCATAGTTCAAAACATCAGAGGTTATCACACAACTGGGTGTTAAATCACTAGAACTGTTTTTAACATCTTACATTAGCTGTACCTAGAGACAGCAAAGCAGTTTTTATTGATTTAAAGTAGTGCTGTGTGGGACTAGAGAGCTTGTTTCTTGTTTTGCCAATACCCTGTTCCAGGTCCTTACACCAATCACTTGACCTTCACATATCTATTTTTTCTCAAGCATTCGGTGACATCACCAACTTCAAAATCATTAAGACAAGGACCAACTATCTTTTCTACTTCTGAAAATCCTACACATGGTGATCTCAGTGTCTAGGGCCTGCCTGTAGTTCCTGCTGCTATATAAATAAAGGCACACTAAGCACCAAGCAGAAATTTCTCTTCAGACTGGGGTTGTTGTGCTTTATTTGTTTTCCAGAGAAGTTGTGGAAAGAGGTGGCAGGGAGGGCACTGTGGTCATCAAACATTTCAATTTGAAGTGGAATACTTGTTTTAGAGATACTTTAACCTGCCAGGATAGTCAATTAACATGAGTGGATGGCATTTTAAAAGCATCTATTTCCTTTTTAAGGTAGGAAAGCCATGTGAATTGTTACCATCTGGATGCAGCTAACCTCCTGGAGAATACATCAAGTCATGGGTATATGCATATAGACTCCATTTGTTCTTTTTAATCAGGTATCCTAATTTTATTTCATTTCCCATTTGACCTGTCTTGACTAGCAGCTAAAAATTTCATTTTAAACAAATGCTTGAGATTCATTCACTGGAATTCATAAGCAGAAATAGCATTCTGATTAACAGTGAGGTTCTCACCCTCCAAGGAATAGAGAAAAATCAGTTCTGAAGAATATGAATATGTATACAATATCAAACTTGTTATACAAGAACCATACTATTTATTTAAGTTACCTTCAGTAATTTATTATGCTTTTAAAAACTTCAACAGTTTACAAGAGAAGGCAAGCTTGCACAAAGTGCTGGTGTCAGGCAGATAGCAGATTTTATGCATACTTGGTAATGCACTTAGCTAGTTTACAAGGTTGCCATTCTACTGTTCGTATTCACCTTAACCAGACGTGGTGGTTATGTCTAATACTAGCATCTCTGTGGTGGACATTTTTCTAGCACATGTTGGCGGTTTCAGATTTTACTATGGGGTATGCAAAATAAGTTAGAGATCAGGAAAGGTGTCACTCTAGACTTCAGAAGTTCTTCTTTAGAAATTTACATTGTCCAGCCACTAATGAGTGATTTTGTTTTAAGTCAGAGCTCTGATTTATAGCCCTCTGTAATATTTTAATTTACTAGTCATCAAAAATATACATATGTATAAACTGCATTAAAAATAGGTAGATGAACTCAGAATGGAAATCAAAACCAACAGCAGGGCAGGCTCCAAGCAAGTTGTTTCTAGCTGAATCTTTTTTCCTTCCCCTTTCCTCCAGTGGCCTGCTTTTACAAACATGTTATTCCTGACATTTCTTTGAAGTTGTTGTGATAAAAATAATTTATATAACACCAGGTGTATCTCTGTCTGCCCATGTACCTCAAGCCCCCTTTGTTCTCCTGGGAGTTTCCCACCTTGATATCTGAAACTATTGAAGTGAGTGATGTCTTTGAGCAAGGTAAATTATAGAAAGAAGATAAAACTGAAATCACAATACAGCAGTTTAATTATGTTCAGGCTATAAAAAATAATTTTCAGTTTGGAAATACTGCTATTCATGTCGAATTCTTACATCACATGAATACATATATTCATATAAAAAGCTTGCAAGGCATTATATGTTATTGGTAGTACTGAATACATTTTCATATTGGAATTTTATTTTGTCCAACAAAATAACATTTACTAAAACAGACATTAAAAGGCTCTAGCTGACAAACGCAATCCTGTAATATTAAGACTGATATTGATTAAATGTTATTATGAAAATTGGTTATGTTCCTGTTTAAAAAAAAAAAAAACCTCCAGCCCATTTCCAACGCAGAGTGACTGCACAGTGACCTGAACAAATAGCACCAACTTGAGCTGCCACCAGAGCAATGTTTGTGTTACTCAGCCTCACAATACCTCCTTCAGCAGCGTTCATTCCCCTTCTTGTTTGCTAGCTATAGGCATTCAAGCAAACAACCTGTTTGCACAATTGCATGGCCTCAGCCATTTATACAAATATCTGTATCCCCATGCAAACATGGTTGTACCTGCACAGACTGTGGTTCAATAATCATTATTTTCTATTCACTGTTTGCTATTTGTTGTTTTAATTATCTCTGGCTATAATCATTTCAACTGTCTGACTGGGGAGCAGTCAAGTCACTAAGGAGACCACATGCCCGGAATGACAAACACTCCACACAGCCTGGAGGCTGATGTGACCATTGTGACCAACAATGCAAATAAACACATTGGGGAAAAATAAATAAATAAATAAATAAAAAGTGACCTTCAAAATGTGTGAAATCCAGATTAAAATACATTTGACTAACTAGCACACCTACGTCCGCACCACACATCTACAGCTATTCCAGGTTTAATTAAACAAGAAAAAAAAAAAAAAAAAAGTTCCGTACTTTTTCTTTATGATTGTAAAATATTTAGACAAAAGATTAAGAAGCATTTTGAATAGTGCTGGAGCCAGCTTTCCAGCTGTCAGCACCATAGAAAAGTCTTTGATTTAACTACTTTTCCTCACTTCCAGTTTCTTACAGTTGTGAATATCTTTAAATCTCTGCATGCAAAGGAATGAATTTTGTCTGTTATTTATTTATTTTGTTTTGTTTCTTTGCATGTTTAGTTGTTTGTTTTTGTACTTGTTCACTTGTTCTTTAAAAAAACAAACAAACAAACAAACAAAAAAAAAAAAACACCATTTTTCATAAGACTGCTAGACAGTTGCTCCCTAGGAAATACAGAGCTAGACTAATGCCTCAAACACAGCATCTATTTTTAGTTTAGCTGTAGAAGTCTAAAGGACCAGAATGACTAAATCATGAAAAGGATGTCCTGAAAGAAATATCAAAATATTGTCCCAGCCAAACCAATGTGCGTGGTCATGTTCTCTGATCTAGAAATCCAGCCTTGCCCTCGCTTTCTCCTGCAGCCTTGAGTAATGCCAGCAGGAAAAGGATGTAGCAGAGCTGCCTCAAGTTCATTCTTTTCCATACTCACAGTAATTGGTGTATCCACATTTAGAAGTACAACATTAAATCACAGTTAGAAATACTACATTAAATACTGCCAGACAATTGCTTGCAATTGATTCTCAAGGTTTCTCACTGTTCTCACTGTTATTAAATCAACTATTTTTATTTTGGGGGAGATTAAGATTGAAGCCTATTTGGTGCCAATGCATATTCAGTACCACTTAAACACCATAAATTAGATCTACTTCTTTGAGGAAGTGAAAAGTAAGGAATTGCAGGTGTCTGCATATGTAATTACAGGGAAACACATGAATTTATTCAACTTTAATCTCTTGCAGGTGAAACTGAAAGTATGTAATCAGCTCGATGAGCTGTCTGTTAAGTGCATTTGTCTTCTTAATGAATGTTTTTCCTGAGGTAGTCTGAACAATTCATGTGCCTGAGCTCATTATCAGAAACCTTAAAAAATAAAAGTTAATATTTGGGGAAAAGATAAAATCTTTACACAGCTATGTAGGGAAACTTAAATATGAAAATCTCTGTAGTGACACTTGCTAACTGATGACTGGGCATGTTTGACATATTGTTATTTAAATAGGATTGAGCAAACAGAGGAAGTGATAGGAGTGCATTTAAAAGTTCCCTTAAGCAGGAAAATTCCTCAATATTTTCACGTGTTAAATCATTCTGATGCTTCATCTGACTGTTGCAGATCAGCTCCTGCAGTCCAAATACACTAACAAGACAACTCACAGGGACAAGGGTACAGAGTTGAGTTTCATGTCACTTGGCAAAGCAAGTGCAAATTACATTCACAGGACCATCTGCTGAGATAGCAATTCCTCTTTGTCAAAGAAAGAGCACAAAGCTTGAAGTTCTGTTAATACAGTGTGCTTTTTAAATAAATCACTCTATGCATACGCAGATCATGTTGTGATATTTTTTGTTTAGGATGATGTTTCTCTGAGGGCACTGAAGTAATATAAATTTTGCAACCATATGGAGTATAGGGCTGTTTGCCCCATTAATCAGCAGACAATGAAAAGTGTATCTGCTAATAAAGCCTTCACATTATACAGACAAGTGTCTTGTGTTTCTATACCTTCTCCTTGTAAGAAGCAATCTGTCCTGATGGATAGAAAAATAAATAAAAGACAGATCTGAGAAGGAGGCTGGAGTTTTAACTTGGCTAGACAGTGACATGCTGCATGCCTTCCTGATGTTCTGCCAGCCAACAACATTTCCATCTTAACAGTCTTCCCTTAAAAAGCAGTGATTCAATGGAAGAACAGCATTTTGTAAGAGTGTGTCAAGTATGTCAAGACATTTGACAGGATGAGGCAGATTATTTTATCTGCTAATCTTTTCCTTTTCCCATGAAAGAAATGCTTCCAGCTCAGGGATCAGATGAAGGAACTCAAATTCCTGCAGTTCTGCGTGTCCACATAGAGGGCTGCGTCATTTTTAGCACCGACCCTATTACATGTGGGTTGCCAGAGAAGTGGGACTGCACTATCTGGGATCTGTTCTTCTATCATTTTAAACCAAATTCTACAATGGGCTCTGATTGCCCTCCCGCCTTCACGAAGTTGTAAGATCAGAGACTGGGTGACCTTATGATATGCTGTACTGGAACAATTTCTCATGCACCTTTGCCTGTAGAGCCGAGGATATGAGTCACCAAGGCTCTCCTGCTGTGCGTGAATCAGAGACACAAATGTTAAAGCAACAAAAGACGTCTAGAATAACTTCCCTACTCATAAAACTGCATATTGAGGGCACTTCCAGTCAGAAGCAAGTGAGACACAATGGAAAACAAGGAAGGCCCAAAGAACTAGTCCATTTCATTTAAGGGTAGCGAGGTAAATATTCATAATATTCATACTTGGAAAGAGTGATAGTAGATAGTCATTTTTATTTATTTATTTTTAAGAGTCAGCAAAATCCAAAAACAATATCTGACAGACATTACTCAACCTTTGCATCTCGGGAAAAGAATTAATAGCTTGGATAGATTGTTGCTGTTATGATAGGTATTTTTCCTTAAATAAATGTTTGTTTGTTTGCTTGTTTGTTTTATATTCACAGCCTAGATAAAAGTAGTTATTTCACTGTTCCCCTCCAGTCTCCTTTGCTGATATTTGACAGCTTTTGTTTATCAGCTGGTTGTATTACCAACTCTAACATGCTCCAGTAGTCTCAGTGATCTGAGAGCACTGAAAAAATAAACCTTAAGAATGACAATGCTGGCAGCTTAGTGGAACAGAGCAGCCAACAAGCTACATTTTAAAATGGCAATCAATATTAACTTACATCTCACTTTAGAAACAAAATAGATTTGACAAATGGTATCAAAAACCTACCTCCAACTGACATTTGTAAAGGAATGTTTCTCTTATATCCCATTTATGTTTCTAGAGGTTATTGAAGTTTTTTAATAATGTTTTCTTGTCATCAGAGAATTTGTTACTGCTGAGTTGTTTTTTTTTTTTTTTTTTTTCTTTTTTCCTTGGAGAAAGAAAACTTTGTGAAAAAAAGACGAGGATTTAGAAAAGGTATTCTAAATAGCTTAATAACCTATGAGTAACCAGAAGACATGAACAAATTATTTGCTTTTATCATAAGATAAGATTTGTTTGTGCAAGTTAAATTATTTATTATTTGTATAAAATTCTTTTCTATCAAGACAGCAACACAGAAACATATGTGTGCTTGATTCTTTACTAAATCTGCATGTCATTACTTTATCATGGTAGTACAATAATACAGTGTGCAAACAGAAAAGGCCAAAGCCCTCCACCAAGAATGTGAAATCCAGTTTCTCCATCTTTCACAGGCAGCTGGACAGGTGAATTCCTATGCCTAGGACAAACCTTTATGAAAATATCACAGAGAACATTTTTTAACTGAAAGGATCTCTCAGCTAAGTTTATGAAGCACAAAGAAAAGCTACACATCAAAACTGAAGAGAGAGAGAGTCAAAATACACATTATTTTTGTGTGTACAAAGAGGTATGTATTGGTTGAAGAATGAGATGTGTGGAAGCCCTAAATAAGGGCTGCAAAATCATTGCCCTAAGCCAAGGAAGACCACTTGCACCTCTGCCGCATTTCTCTGATATATATGTCTTGGCCTTAAAAATGTGCAGTGACAGAGAATATATAACCTTTTCAGATGATCTGTTCCAGTGCCTATTTCAAACTATTAGAAATCATTAGTCTTATGATTAGCCTAAATTTCCCTAGCTGCAATCTAAGCCAATTAACTTTTTGCCCTGGCATGGAGAACATACTACTCAGCAGCACTTGACATCCTGGAAGATTGGACTATCATGCCTCCCTGATGTCTTTTCTCCTTGAAAGTTAACTAATACAATTAACTCAGTCTCTTCTCGTAGGTCAGGATTTCTAGACCTGTAGTCTTGTTCTCTGCCTATGGACTCCCTCTGACTGGTTCTCAACATTCTTAAAGCATGGTGCTCAACAACTGCCACTAAAAGTGAAGACTTATTCCACTTATCTCATGAATAATTCTCCTGTTTCCACATCTTCCTATAATGTTTGTAAAAATAAATAAATAAATAAATAAATGATCCACTGCAATTCCCAGCTCCCTTTCTGAAGAACTGCTGCTAGTTTGCTTGATCAACCTGAAGCAATACCGTTGACCACTCCTAGTAAAGAACAGACTTTTTCAGTGTCTTTAATGAGTGAAAAATTCTTGCTCAGAAGAGGGACACTGTGTGCAAGATATGTACAGGCCACAGGCAGTGACAAAAGATTAGCAAACAGAAATCAGAAATGACAATGAACTTATATGAATTGCAGCAGTCAGAGACTGGTTGACCTCGGGGCTTTGCATATTTTGTGAACTTCTCCAGCAAAAAAACAACTGAATTAGCTCCTTTGATCATCATGCACAACATCAGCACAAGCTGTGGTTACCTGCTGCTAAATCCAGGGACAACATGTGCACTGGCTCAGTTCATGTTTTGGCCGGGATCGGCTTTTGCGTCATGCAGATAAACTCCAAGTGTCCTTATTTACAGACCTCCACCTGTCCCACTCCATTTCTTGGCTCCAGCTTCAGTCAGCACCTCCAACAATTTTGTTACCTGCCAGCCAGGAGCCTTGCTGCCCTAAAGATACAATATTAATGAGCAATCAGGCACAGCAGGCCTTAATGCTGCATACCCTATGGAGTCGAGCAAGAGTGCCTCTATTTCTGCTTGGTGCTTTCAGAAGACACAACCACTGTGCCAGCAAAGAGACAGACATTAATTGAACAGCATAGTTATGCAAAGAGGTGAATACCTGGCAGTGATGTACAATATGGAGGTATTTTTTGTTCAGGAGACAGAGACAAAGCTGCAGAAAGAAATAGCATGCGGTCTTTTTCTTTCAGGACCCTTCCCACCTCTTCTCTCAGTATAAAAAGCCTATAAAAATGTAAAGAGCACTTATTATTATTATCCTTGCACTGTAAAAGGTAGAACAGGGTTTGTTCACCAGGGATAACTATTCTCTTTACTTTGCTTTTCTTTTCCAGTTAAATACTGTTTCACATGTTTCTCAGAACAGCACTTGAATTGTATTTATCATAACAATTTTAGTCCAAATTCTTATATTTTCCTTGTTAATTAAAATGTTATTTTGCTGAGTTAGAATAAAATAATACTGGTAGCATCTATTACAGACAAATGTGGCTCTGGATCTACTAGTATTTTTCTTATAGTCAGCAGCTGTTGTAGATTCATTGCTCTCCTTCATCCAGGGTTGGAGAGGTTACAAAAGGCTACCTAAAACCATGCATGTCATGTCCTGGCATAAATTTTTGAGACTTTGTTACTGGATTTTCATGTGCCTGAGATAAACTAGCAAAGCTAGAGCCTAATTTTGGTTCCTGTTAGCTGGTTACAAACCAGAAGAGGAACTGAGTGGGATATAACTGAGAGACAGGGATATAACAGCTGGGTGAGACTGGTGGGGATTCAGATTCAAGCAGTCAATCTAGTTTATGAATGACAGAAAATGAATCAGTAGATAGATAAATAAATAAATAAATAAATAAATAACTGCAGAGGTCTATCCTGGCTTTCAGTTATTACATTTCAAACAGCAAATATGGATGGGGCAGCCAGCATCCCATATAGGGTGGGAAGCAGCATCACCTGTAGAGCAGTAATTAGCTCTTCAGCCCCTTCTCTTCTGCCACAGAGTCCCTGGCTCATCCAATTTTGTCACTTCTCATGGCAAATCCCACAAAACACTCCATCCACAAAATCTCTAACGCATCCCAGGGGGGAAAAAAAAAAAAAGTATATATTATATATATATATATATATATATATATATATATTGTTCCTCAAATGCTTCCTGACATTCATCTTGCTCTAGACTCCCCCCTATGCAAATGTGTCTCTCAGAGCCCTGAGCTTTCCTGTGTCTCCTGGCACAGTTATCCGAGTGGAACCCTGTAGGCAAGGGAGGAAAGAATATCTTTTATACAGTCCAGATAGATGGTAGCCACGATTTCACAGCAGAACTTCAATCTAGGTTGTCAGCAAGTAGCACCCATAAATTACAGTACCTCTTTTTTT